TAAAATTATGAAAGTATGATAACACATTTACAAGAGACTTGGAAAATACAGAACAAAGTTACATATAGTTCCACTTTAAGTAAAGGAAGAAAGTGAAGTCGCTCAGTCATGTCTGACTTTGCAATCCCATGGACTGTAGCCTACCAGGCTCCTCCACCCATGGGATTTTCCAGGCAAGAGTACTGGAGTGGGTTGCCGTTTCCTTCTCCAGGGGATCTTCCCAACCTAGGGATCAAACTTAGGTCTCCTGCATTGTGGGCATATGCTTTACCATCTGAGCCACCAGGGGAGCCCACTGAAGCCCACTGTATGGTTCCACTATATGTTACAATTTTTTTGTAAGTAGATAAATTAAGATTTTTAGTTAGAATTTCAATATCAAACTCTGAAAAAACAATAGAATGTATAGACAGGAAAGTGGAAGGATATATAGTAGACCTGAAAAGCACTATCAACTAATTCAACATAATTAAAATTTATTTTTCACACAATAGCAGGAAAAAAGTTCTATTCATGTTCCCATAGACTATAAACCAGGTGCCACTAGGACATATCCAGGGACATAAAACAAGGTGTAAAAAAGTCATGGTCTAATGGTATTGAAATCATATGCAGTCTGTTCTCTTATCACTATGGGATTATTTTAGAAATCAATATCAAAAGATAAAATGACCACGTTTAAGTAGATCACATTGTTCTTCCCCCTACTCACCTTCCTTTCATGTTTGTCCATCACTCTTGGACACACCTAACATGGTCACTGTTTGCCTTTGGAGGGAACCTGCTAGGCTCCAGCTAAACTATGCCTCAGCCACTGCCGGTCTCTTAGCTGAAAAAAAGCTTGAACATGAGGAGAGGCCTGGGCTTTGGAGCATATGCACATGATGGCATCTTCTAAGATGGTTTTCTTTCTCAAATAACCCATAAGGATATAGCCCAGTGCAAGGACAAGTGAACCAGAGGACCAGAGCTGGATTCGCTGTGTTTTCAAATCCCTCAAGGATTGCTCTGTCAGAAGTCCAAGCTGGTGAGCTGCATTTTCTGTTCTCTATCAGGTCCTGGTTTTACTTGGAACCTTGACTTTACGTCCATCCATGTGCAGGGAACTCAGTTACCTGTGGGCTATAGTCGTTCGTCATTGTTCAAAGTCAGTAGTTTGATGTCCATTAAGTAAATCTTTGGTTTGAAAATAATATTGTGCATAGTTGAAAAATCATCTGATTTAGAGTCGGAACACTTGGCCCCGAGGGCCTGGTTCCTAGGCAGAACAATGGTCCCCAGACACATCCATGTCCTGATCCCCAGAGCCTGGGAATATGTTCGGCTACGAGGAGAAAGGGAAGGAGAATTTGCCATCAACTGATCTTAAGGTAGGCAGCTGATTCTGGATAATTTCGGTGGGTTCAATGTAATCACAGTGTCCTTACAAACAGGAAAGAAGCTGACGAAGAGAGTCAGAGGAGAGATGTGATGATGGGGCAGGTAAGGGAAATGCTGAACTGTTCACCTGGACACGGGGGAGTGACCACCTACTCCAGATGCAGGCACCCCTAGGGCTGGAGCATCAGGGAACGGTCCTCCCCAGAGCCGCCAGAAGGGACAGGCCTGCCCACACCTCGACCTCAGCCCAGGGAGGCCTGTGTTGGACCCTAAACAACAGGACTGTGAAAAAACACATTCTTGTCTTAGGCCTCTAGGCTTGTGGTAACTTGTTAAAACAGGAATTAAAAACTAGTTAGAAGGGAATTCGCTGGCAGTCCAGTGGTTTAGGACTCTGCACTTTTCACTGCTAAGGGCACAGTTTCAATCCCTGGCTCGGGAACTAAGATCCCACCTGCTCTGTGGCATGATCAAAAAAAATTTTAATGTAAAAATCTTTAAAAAAAAGAAGCTAGTAGAAGCAGTGAGGCATGAGTCACAAAATCTCTTTGAGATCTTCTATGTGTCAAATAAAGAGGTTACATTAGGGCCTTTAAGGCTCTGAAAACAGGAAACATCCTGAACTATTCAGCCCTTTGAGTCGGCAGGTCCAAGGGTGTTCCAGAAGGGCCACGTGAGCTGCTCCACAGAAGGCCAGGGAGTAGGTGAGGCTTCGAATACTCTGCAGAGAATGGGTCCAGCTCAATGCTCATGCTGTGCATCTTTACTGCGCTTACCAAGCACCAGGCCCTGGGCAGGGTCTTCCCATATATTTCCCAACAACCTGGTGAAAGAAAGCAAGTGAAGTCGTTCAGTCATATCCAACTTTTTGCGACGCTATGGACTATAGCCCACCAGGCTCCTCAGTCCACGGGGATTCTCCAGGAAAGAATACTAGAGTGAGTTGCCATTTCCTTCTCCAGGGGATCTTCCTGACCCAGGGTTCGAACCCAGGTCCCCACATTGCAGGCAGACTCTTCACCCTCTGAGGCACCAAGGGAGCCCCACAAGCTGGTGAGTTTGGTATAAAACTGATGCCCGCTTTACCTGCATGAAAACTGATTCTCACCCTCATTGATAGTCTTTGGTTCCAGGCCACACACCTGCCAGGTGGCTGAGGTGTGACTTGAACACCCACACCTGCATTTGGGGCCCTCCATGGTTCTGCTTGGCCAGTGGCTGTTACATTCACCAAATATATCACTTATTGAGCCCCCACTATGTGGCAGGTAACAAGGCAGATAACAGGTTTGGTTGTTATAGCAACAACCAAAAAAAGATAAAGACAAGCTCTCAGCAACCTTACAATCAGCAGCAGCAATTCACATACTCAACAAATACTCATCAAGCTCTCGTGATATGCCAGGCATCATGAAGAGGAGCTTATTGAATTCTGGAGCCTATGAAAGCTAGTGCCGCATCACCAACACAGACCAGGATGCATCTTCAACTCATCTCACCCAAAGCATTGTCTAATTCTTGGAGTCCTGTCCACAAGGACTGAATTGTTCACCATAGGCAGGAGCTCTGTTCTCACTAAACAAAGAATGGGAAATCGAACAATTGCTCGATTCCATCAGAGCCTTAAAGGCTTTTCTAGCTACTCAGAAATGAAAAGGAGAATAGTGTCAGAAAGAAAGAGATTTTATGTATATTAGGTACATTGAGTTCACTTCATTTTAATGTTCAAATTATAATAGAGATTCTACTGTTAGAATATTTTTAGTTTCTTACTGGAGAGGACATCATTTAGTAGAAGAAAAGCTATGTATCTCATATCAAATGTTAGAAAGGCAGAATTCACTAACTTTGCTCTTATGCGGATTTAAGAGTGATGACAGAGAATTTGGGCTTCTCAAGTTCTTGTCTTTCATCATCGTTTGCTCATTAGAAAAGCCTTTAAGCTAACAATGTCACAATACGGTAATATTTATCTATGCCATCTTTTATTCCAAAAATAATTTGTGTCAGAGAAATGTCATAACTTTAAAGATTTAGTAAGTAAACCCACTAAAGGCATAATTTCAACAGATTATCTGAAAAGGCTTACTCTTTTTTTCCTAAAGCGTCACAAATCTTCACAAGAGATTATCTTTGAAGAATGTCTTTAAAATTTTTTCTCCTCATTCTAAAAGCCATGAATCACATCAGAACACCACAATGAAACTTTGTTTTCACTAGACTTTAAGCTTTTTTAAAAACCTATTTTGATAAGCTAGTCTTAGAAGAGGGAGGTTGACTCTGGCAAAAGGAACAACACATTCCTACTCAATAAATTACTAAAAATCAAGTGGGCACATATATTGAAAGCTAGGAATGAGGAACTATCACAGCTCTGATTCTTTTCCCCCCAAATGATGATACTCTATATCAAGTTCAGTAGAGAATATAAGCTTAAAATTTTTAAATAAGAAAAAATATCTTGGTTATACATGTTTTTTTTTTTCCTACCAGCGAATTTTAAGTTTCCCTCAAAAATGAATACTTGAAATTATTCTCTGAGGTTATACCTCATGTTTTCAGTGACATGGACTCTCTCCTTAGGCAACAGAGTTGTTATTGTGGTTCAGTAGCTCAGGGACTCTTTGCAATCCCATGGACTACAGCATACCAGGCTTCCCTGTCCTTCACCATCTCCCAGAGTTTGCTCAAACTCATGCCCATTGAGTCAGTGATGCCATCCAATCATCTCATCCTCTGTCATCCCCTTCTTCCCTGCCTTCAATCTTTTCCAGCATCAGGGTCTTTTCCAATGAGTCTGCTCTTCAAATCAGGTGGTCAAAGTATTGGAGGTTTAGCTTCAACATCTGTCCTTGCAGTGAATATTCAGGGTATTATCTTTCAAAGGGATTATTCCTCCTATGAAAAGAAAAAAAAACTGTTTGGTAGTTCTCTCCTTTGGAAGTGAACCTACAAAGTAGGTTTTACCTATAAATCCACGCTACACACACACCCCACCCCACCCCCACACACACACATATGCATGTGTGCACACACACACATACACACACACAGGCTACCTCACAATTGCTCTACATATCCCAAAAGTCAAGCAAGAGGGAAAAAAATAGCAGCTGACTTCGGATTTGCTTTTGGAAGAAAGTGCCATGTGTTACAAAGACCCAAACTGCCAACAAAATGAAGAAAATAAAGGGATTAACTTTGGTTGAGGGTGCGCATTGCAAATTGTCTCCAGGTTGCTGGGTGATGGGGGCTGAGGTGTTCCAGGCAGCTAAGACCTCAGTTCAGGAGGACTGCAAGGCTGGAGAGGAGACCCCAGGGAGGGGCCACTCCCTTACCATAGAAAATATAGGCCCTACTTAAAATCCTAAGATATTATATCTACAAAAAATGATCAGATTTGTTTCTTATGCAGCATTCACTACCAAGATGTTTGGTTTGAAAAGATAATTACAGAGGGAAACATTGCTTACCTCATCTTCTTTAGGAAGAAAGAATGTTACATTATAAGATAAAGAAAAGAAAGACATTTTTAGTGTTGGGACTCTGAAGTTCAACTGTAGTAACTCTAGAAGAAGGGAAGGATTAAAAAAAATAGAAGCTTTGTCAGCAGTAACAAACTCTGCACAGGACGGAAGGAAAAGCAGGCGTTCTCCACTGTTTAATGAAGATTTCTTAGCAACTGCAGCCATCTCAAGCCTTGGCAGTACCTGGCTCATCTGAAATGTTTGTCTATAAATTTTTGTAGACTGCTGACCTAAGTGTTATTAAAAGTTCCTGTACCCATTAGGTCTGGAAAGCCAAAGAGAAGGTAAGTTTTATTGCTAGTTGAATTTTAAGGTCGGTATGATTGATCTGAAGTCCCCACATTGAATGTGTGCATGGTAAACAACTCTACATAGAGATTACTTTTAAATATATATCTGTAATTAATGTATATGTGTATTGAAGACTTTGGGTGGGTAAAAGGATGTTTGGATTTTTAAAACATCATTTTGCCAAAGTCTTTCTAGTCCCAATTTAGTTTAGTAACAACCCCCTGGACCTGAACACTTCTAATGGGGATTGTATTACGAGTAAGTATCCTTGAAGGAAGAATAAAAACCCTTATCGTGGGAAGAGTCCATCATGCCATGGTTAGCCCTCTGCATCCTCAGGTTCAAGAAACAGGGGATGGAAAACTCTACAAGATTCACAGTTGATTGAATCCACGAAGGAGGAACCCGAGACTACAAAGGGACCCAAGCATCCGTGGAGTCTGGTATCTGCAGGGGATCCTGGAACTGACCCCTACAGGTATGGAGGGATGACGGCATTTAATTTAAAAAGTCACCACAATTGCCATTTGTAGGAACTTGCTGTATGTGGAGTTCAAGAGGCATCTACACTGGCAGATCCCCTCACTGCCCTTGCTCTTTGGGGGACGAAAGGCAAAAGGAAGAACACACTCCCGCTTAATCAAGCACCAAAGATCTAGGGGGCACAGTTAATGAGAGCCAGGAATGAGGGAATATCACAAGTATGACTCCTTTTCCCCTAAATAGTGAGATCCAAACCACCCCAGGTCCTAGTCTGGGGTACCTGAGAGGTAAAGGAAAACCCAGAAATCTACCGCAATGTGGTTCAATACTCTTGCCTGTTTTTAGTATTAAAGTAATGCTGACCTCATAGAAGGAGTTCGTAAATGTCCCCTTTCAATTTTTTGGAAGAATTGTTTATTATTGCTATTATTTATTTCTTTAATAAGAAATAAATAGCAGAATTTGCTATTTATTTACTTGCTTAGCAGAATTTGCCAGTAAAGACATCTGGGCCTAGAGTTTCCTTGTCAGCTGCATGAGTAAATCTAGTGGAATTCAGTTTCTCATTTTTTTCTGGATCAAGTTTTGTCAGTTTGTCTCTTCCAAGGAATTGACTTTTTCATCCACATTATTGTTTATCATAAAGCTGTTCATAAGTTTCCCTTATTATTCTTTGATTATTGTGATGTCACCTGTCTCATTTCTGATATTTGTCGTACGTGCATGAACTTTTTTCCTTATCAGTCTGAATAGGTGATTGTCAGTTTCATTTTCATTAAATTCAAAAGACTTTCTGTTCCTTCCCCCATCCTGATTCCCCCACACACACAACCCCTTTCTTTCCGTGGACTATTCGGTATGCCACTTAGTTTCCAAATATTTGGGGATTTTCCTGATGTTTTTCTGCTATTGACCTTTAAATTATTTTCATTGTGGGAAAAGGACACACTTTGTATGACTTGGATCCTTTGCGGGGATTTGTTTCATGGCCCAGAATATGGTCAGTCTTGGTACACGTCCACGTGGAGCTCTGCACACTCTGCCCGATGCCCGGTGAGTTATGAGGTGTCCTCGCTGGCCGCTGGGAGCAGGAAGCGTCCCCACCTGCCTGCAGCTCCAGCTTCATTTCCTCTTTTCCTCTCGGGTGGGTCTTCCCCCGGCACCTGGTATTTTCCTTACTTCACTCAGTGACTCACAGTCAGATGAAGACTCAGGGCAGAGAGCTCCGTGGCTCAGGCTCAGGGATCCGTCTCTGCGCAGTCCGACCGCTCAGCCCTCCCCAGATTCACAATCTCCATTCTTCTCCAGGCAAGGCTTCCCCTCTCCCTGGTCCCCCCATCTAGGGCAGCCTCCTCACCGACAGAGTGGGTGGGTTCTCATATCTGCTTCCACAGTCAAAGTGCTGTGACATGCCGTTTAGGAGAAAAAACACCCAGCCTCACAGAGATGCACGATGGATGTGGAAAACACAAGATTACTTTAGAGTTTTTCCCAGATTATTATAGGTAGTTTTCATGGACAGTACACCCAAATCTGACAAATGGTTATTTCTCACAGTATAATTGCAGCGAAGAATCAGTAATCATATTGATGAAAAGAAACCCATCTACACTGTTGGTGGGAATGTGAATTGGAGCAGCCACTGTGGAGAACACTATGGGCAGAAAACTAAAAATAGAATTACTATATGATCCAGCAATCCCACTCCTGCCCGTATATCTGGAGCAAACTATAATTCAAAAAGATACATGCACCCCAGTGTTCCTAGTAGCACTGTTTTCGATAGCCAGGACATGGGAACACCCATGTCCATTGACAGAGGAATGGGTAAAGAAGATGTGGTATATGTACACAATGGAATATTACTTGGGCATAAAAAAGAATAAAATAATGACATTTGCAGCAGCACAGATGGACCTAGAGGTTATCATACTAAAGTAAAATAAGTCAGACAGAGAAGGACAAATATCATATGATATCACTTAAATGTGGAATCTAAAAAAATGATAACAAATGAACTTATTTACAAAATGAAAATAGCCTCACAGACATAGAAAACAAATAATATGGTTACCAAAGAAGAAAGTTAGGGAAGGGATAAATTGAGAGTTTAGAATTAACAGATACACACTAATACATATAAAATAGGTGACCAACATGATCCTATTGTATAACACAAGGAACTGGACTCAACATCTTATAATAATCTATAAGGGAAACAAATCTGAAAAGAATACATTACATAATATATATTATATATATTAAACATATATAATTGAATCACTATGCTATACACCTGACACTAACACAACATTGTGAATTAACTATACCTCAATTTAAAAAAATCATTGTGGTTCAGTTGGAATGGATCATTTTCTATATAAGATTTTGTTACATCATGCATTCATCAGCTGGCTGATTCACAGAGTTATGCTGACTTTATAAATGTTGATATATTTCATTACACAATTTAAAAAATTGACAATTGTTATTTTCATTGCAAATCTCACCTTTCTTTAAAATTGCCAAGTGTTCAGGTTCACAGGCTGTGGAATGGACAGAGAAGACCGGCAGGCTACTGTCCATGTGGTCAAAAGATTCAGACACAACTGAGCGTGTGCGCATGCGTGCACACACACACACACACACACACACACACACGAGCTCAAGAGCACACATATATAAGCTAGTTCCAAGTTTTCAAGATTTCTGTTTTTTAACTCGAAACTTTGAGGTTTATCATTGGTGACAAATACTGCCGGTTGCTTTATTTAAGGTAAGAGGTTTAATTCTTTTGAGGACATTTTTGGCCAAAACCCAGGTCTGGGAAACTGAGGTTTGTCAGGAATGTCAGAAACAGTCACGCTGATTGCATTCGAAGGAATCGAGTGAGAGCCTTGTGCAGGGCTCCCATGCTTCCCATTCAAGCAGACGGAACTCCCCACCTCTCCACTCGAGGTGTCCAAAAGGTGTGCTCAGGGACACAATGTCACAGAGTTAATAATGTGTGCAGTTTCACCCACAACACTCTCAGGTGGGACATTCCTTTTCACTGTGAGCCTGTGGCCATGATGAGCACAGGAGTGATTTCTGGTTTTGCCACGACTCCTGCCCAGCAGCTAACATTTCTTCTCTTCTTTTAAACACCAAAGTCAACATAGCTAAAAAGGGCAAATAGCATTGTAGTTTTATTAAGATAATAGTTTTGCCTTCACGAATTTTTTGAAAACTTCAAAGAAACTCCAAGAGTCCATCCTTGGAAATCCAACTCTGAGAATCTCTGGTTTAGGGAACTTGCCTAGGGTCACATTCTGTGCCAGTCCATGGAATAGGTTTCCTGGGTGGAGCTGACCCCCAGCACTTTCCCTTATTCCACCTGAGACATCTCCTCAATCTTGTGTCTGCTGTTGGGAAGAGTTACGAATGGGCTGAAGTGAAGGAGATAAACTCGATGTTTTGCTGCATCCAAGTCTTACCTCCAACACCTTTTTCTTGTTAGCTTGATGTCATCCTGCCTTCCTCTAGGTCAGAGTTACAAAAGCTAAAAGCATTGCAGTTCTCTGAGTTAGAGTCTTGGTGCCAAGGGCCAGCTAAGCTATCTCAGGCTGAGTTTTCTTTCTTTTCATCCCGAGGCAACCGAAACCAAAAAAAAGGGGGGGAAGGGGTCTAAACAAAAGACATCCAGACCAGGAGGCTTGATGCTGCTGCTGAATTTTAATGTTCAGACACATCATCTTGCCAGAAGTTTCACTTCCAGCCGCTGACAACAGACAGCCCTCGAGCTCTTTTGTATTATGTCACTCATTGTCTGGTTGGGGTGAAAGAAAGGGTTAGCTTTTCAGGAGGAAAGTACGCATTTATTTTGAAATTATTCTGTTATACTTATTGAATCACATGTTCAATTAAGAAAATATGCATGTGTGCTCAGTTGTGTCTGACTCTGTTCTACCCCATTGTCTGTAGCCCACCAGACTCCTTTGTCCATGGGATTTCCCAGGCAAGAATACTGGAACAGGTTGCCATTTCCTTCTCCAGGGTATCTTCCCAACCCAGGGATTAAACCTGCATCTCCTGTATTGGCAGGTGGATTCTTTACCACTGAACCACCAGGGAAGCCCATCATTTGCTTAAACTTATGTAATAGACCTGCCTATGGAAGTGAAAATAAAATTTACTGCTGGAGAAGAGACCTGAATGTGTCCAAATAAAGTTTTTCCAGCTGATTGAAAACAAATGTTTTTCTATTTCTGGTAAGAATTCAGATTTAAAAGTCTCATATTCAGCTTCATTAGTGGCTCACACTCATGCCCCTGTTACTATGGTAACTGAGATCCCAGGTCTCATGGGATCAGTGTCACCTCTTTCTCCCCAGGTGGTTCTGGCTTCTTGGAGTCAGTTCTGCTCCAATCCCATTCCTGAAGTCGGTTCAGACAAGCCCAGCCGTCTGTATTCCACAGCTAATAAATCCAGCAGACTTCATGGAAATACCATCTACAAAGTGTCTCATCTCTAAAGCTGGGCCGCACATAGTATTTTTGGATTTGCAATTAATAATCTCCAGCCACTGGAGAGCAAAGAACACTCCAACCTAAAGCATCAAATGAACGTCCTCCATGCCCTGGGTTCGCAGAGTTCACTGAGCTTGTGTGACCTTGAACTGCACAGAATCCCTTAGCGACATGAAAGGACATTCCATCCAGCACCACTAGCTTCACTCGAAAATGAGTCCCAGAGGCTGTGAGTTCTGAGCCTAGGGTCACACTCCTGACTAGCTCTTGGTCCAGGATTTGCTCTCAGGTGTTGTACTGTATGTTTTATATGGTATGTTTTTCTTAAATGTTGTTCCCCTTTTTAAATGAGGAATCCTAGAAGTCACAAACTACCTCAGGTGTACACAGCGTGTGTGTGTGCATGTGTGTGTGCGCAGGTGAGGGAAGACAGGAACTGTAAAGAAGCAGCATGTAAATTAGGGAAAACCCTCAAGTGCACCAGTTCCATCAACCCTGTCTTATCAGTTGTGGAATACAGGGCTGATGCCGGGCTGCTGAGCCAGAGACGGTGTCACCAAGGGAAAACGTGGGCCTGTGATTGTGCTCAGGGTGAGCGGGCCTGTGATTGTGCTCAGGGTGAGCGGGCCTGTGATTGTGCTCAGGGTGAGCGGTCGTGAGTGATGGTTTCTGTTCGTCTCCGTGTGGATGCTCGAGATCCTGATGAGAGGCTGTATCTCAGCCCCTGAAAGGGGTTTGGGAGCTGAAGTCTGGTGTTCCCTTGTACCTTACGATTGTGGACAGGATATTCATTATTCATTCTTGACTCTACTAACTAAAAATTGGGCAGCATTTCAATACTGTCCTCATGCAATTCTGCAGCCAACGCTCAGTGATCGAGGGGCTGTGCTTTATGGATTTCACTCTCCTCCTCTCTTATCCTCCCATCCCAACCCCCTCACCTCTGCCTTCATCAAAGGCCCTGATGACGTCTTCTCCAGAAGAGGCTGGCTGGGAGAGAGAGGAAGAGGCAAAACTCAAAAGTTACTTTGTCTTCTTGTTCTTAAATTTTTTTAAGTTTTTAAAAAAATATTATTAATTTTTTAAAAAATATTATTTATTTTTAATTGTACAATAAATGCTTTATAATGTTGTGTTCTTTCTGCCATACAACAATGAGAATCAGCCAGAGGTATACATATGTCCTTTCCCTCTAAAAGATTGAATTTTTAATTTCATGTAATTAAAAATTCATGTAATTTCATGTAATTAAGTAATTTCATGAATTTTCGTGTCATCCTTGCTCAGGGGCCACGCTAATCTTCTCTGTATCATTCCAGTTTTAGTATAAGTGCTGCCGAAGCGAACTCTACTTTCTCTTCTTATCCCTGTGAGCTGAGAACAGAGGGACCATGAGCCCAAGGTCACCAAAATACACACGGTGACCATGAGGCTCCCGTCCAGACCTGCCATTGAAGGGGTGGCTCTTGGAAGAACCCACTCCCCACCCTCTGCTCCTGTTGCTGGTGGAGGTCACTGTGAGCCCCACGAATGACCTGGATATCACACACATGCACATGTGCACACACACTCTTCACACTACTGACTGGGGTCACACACATGCTGACATGGCTGTGTTTCCAAGCCTCTTCGACCTTTGCATCCTCCTCAGCAGCCCCTGCCAACTTGTCATCCTTCAGAGTTCACGTCAGAGGCCTCCTCGTCCGTTCAACCTTCTCTGCTGCCCCCAAGGCTGGATTGGGCATCTCTCCTAAGAGCACCCAGACTCCTGCCATGAGAGTGTCTACACACACCCAGTTGGCTGTACTGGAATCGGATGTTCCTGGGTCTTCACTACGTTGTCTTTACCTCAAGAGTCAGCACATGAGTTGTTGTTTTGTCGTTGTTCAGTCACTAAGTCGTGTCCGACTCTGTGACCCCAGGGACTGCAGCATGCCAGACTTCCCTGTTCTTCACCATCTCCTGGAGTTTGCCCAAGTTTATGTCCATTGAATCGGTGATCCTATCCAACCATCACATTAAGTTGGTGTCCCGTAACTTAAATAATAATTGAACAGTGAGTGTGTGAACAGGTTTTGCACAAATACAACCCCTCAGAGGAAGGCCTTCTGTACATCTGGGGTTCAGTTCAGTTCAGTTCAGTTCAGTCGCTCAGTTGTGTCCAACTCTTTGCGACCCCGTGAACCGCAGCACGCCAGGCCTCCCTGTCCATCAACAAATCCTGGAGTTTACCCAAACTCATTTCCATTGAGTCAGTGATGCCATCCAACCATCTCATCCTCTGTCGTCCCCTTCTCCTCCTGCCTTCAATCTTTCCCAACATCAGGGTCTCTTCAAATGAGTCAGCTCTTTGCATCAGGTGGCCAAAATATTGGAGTTTCAGCTTCAACAACAGCCCTTCCAATGAATACCCCAGGACTGATTTCCTTTAGGATGGACTGGTTGGATCTCCTTGCAATCCAAGGGACTCTCAAGAGTCTTCTCCAATACCACAGTTCAAAATCATCAATTCTTCAGTGCTCAGCTTTCTTTATAGTCCTACGCTCATATCCATACATGTGGGCTACCTGTAATGGGAAGCTGCCAGAAGGGATTCTCTGAATCAGTCTGTCCAACATCTTGGGCAAACAGTGAGCTTCAGTGAACTTAGCAACTCCACACCCATCACCACCCGGATCCCTACGCGCGTGCGTGCGCGCGCACACACACACACACACACACACACACCCCACTTCCTGGGAAACTGGTTTTCAGCCAAGCCTCTGCTTTAGGCCACACACCCACACATACCACACAACTACTGTTGCTATGAAGTATGGACAGACAGATGGACCTAAATAACAGATGAACTGGCTTTCCTCTGTTCACGCTCTTTGGGAGCCACTGCTTTTGAGTTCAGATCTGTGGTGTTCTGTCTTTCTTTACACTGTTGACACTTTTCTTCATTCTCACATCTCTTACTCTGCTTCCTTGCCAAGAATTTACTGTTTGTTTGGGGCTTTCTCATTGGAGGCCTTCACTGAGAGTTTTAAAATCCTCCTTTCTTGGAAAATGTGCTCATTTTGCAAATTCCTACTTATCAGGTCCAAGAAACTCTGAAGCCAAGAATCATACAGTCTCAGCATTTCTGGGCTCTTTTTTGTGAAGCTATCAGAGCATTCTCCTCCCTTGTATATTTAACTCTGTTCCCCTCAACCTTCTGCAGGGGAGTTCCTCCCCTGGCAATCTCAAATTAGGGTTTTTTTTTTTCTGATGTAACAAGATTAGGAATACTCTGTTCTTTTCTCTGTGATCTGTTAGTACAAGTGGCAGTCTGAGCAGAAACAGTACAAACTGCAACAGCCTCAGCCCAAGGCATTGGCTCCTCCATCTTCCCGCAGGAGTGCCCACCCGCCCCTGGTCACCAAGGACTTCCTGGGTCTAAAATTGGCTTCACGGGACTTCCCCGGTGGTCCAGTGGTTAGGACTTCACTGTCCAGTGCAGGGGGCGTGTGGGTTTGATTCCTGTTGGGGAACTACAGCCCACACACCTCGAGGGTCAAAAAACCAAAACATAAAAAAACAGAAGCCATATTGTAGTAAATTCAAAAAAGACTTTTTAAAAAAAATTGTCTATATCAAAAAAATCTTTAAAAAATAAATAAAATTGATTTCAAGATCACATTCTTTTCTTTGCTGAAGGATACACAACAGCTGGGACTCTGGTTTTTCAACAATACAAACTCACCTCAAACTTTACAAAGCAAGCAGCAAACTTCCAGGGACAAACCTGAAGCCTCAGAGACCAGATCAGAGCTAAGCCTCAGGCTCAGGGCGACGAGACCAGCCAATGCCATGTCATCGCTCCTCTCCCTTCTCCCTGTGCCCTGGCGCATCCGGGCCTTTCCTTCTCTATGTGGGCCCCTCTGCTGCTCAGTCGGCCTGGCCACCACCTGTCCCATCCCTTCATATCATGGAATGAGGGCACCCAGAAGAGACTGAGGCTCTAGATCTCTCATTCCAAAATTCATGAAAGAGACATTTGTGTTAACCTGAACTGACCTCATTCCCAGGGCTAGATAAACACACAAGCCGGCTTGCAGGTGACGTTACCTGATCGATGCAGTAGTTTCCACAACAGTCATGTGAACAGGGGTTGGAGGCAGTAACTTTAAGAGAGGGATTCTTGAGCAAACATTCTTGCTGGTCTCCATTACAGCTGCTGTTGATGAATCCTGGACAAAATAGTCTACCTCTGTGTCTCCACTATAGGTTATACTGTCAGTGGTATTTTCTCTTCCTTCCTAGGCCTAGCTTATACCAACCCTTTTTTCCCTAACACACACACACACACACATACACGATAGACAGAGTCTATTTCCAAATGCAGGCTCAAGAGCTGATCTCAGGAAACCACTGCCTGAACCATGAGAGAATGAGTCAGTGTTATCAAGTGAAACTCTTTTTTTCTTAAACATCTAAGCAAAGGAAGTTCATTGGGAAATGCTAGCCCTTGACCTCTAACCAGTTAAATATTTTGTCTAAAACTTCATTAAATTCTTATCTTACCCAATAAGCTGACTTCATGATTTCTTTTGTAAAGTATGCCTAACAGCCAATAGAGATAACAGTGTTTGTGATTTCTGGAACAGCTGCTTCTTCTTGCTCATACTTCTCCGTTTTCAGAACCACTTCTAGCCAGTCCTCCCTGGGCATAGTTTACCCATCACAGTCAGAGGAAGTGGGCAGCATTTTGTCACCAGGGCAGAACCAGGGCTGAGAAATGCCTTACGTTAAGAGTAGGCTTAGACCATGTCTCTCAACTCCTCCATCTCCCACCATGAATTTCTAAATGGCATGGATGGATTCTGATTCTGTACAAGAAAGACATTTCAAGAATGAAAGTAATCAGTGACATCCTTGAAATCAAAGAAAGGAAACAAGAAGTGTTCACTAAACATATGATTTTTAGCTTTTCCTTCACTTCGAAACTTCATGCTCCTCGTCCTGGACAATTGAAACCTCACTCCAGTGATAAAACTGTAACCAAGCAGGATCCTACGTGGCCTTTCCAGGACAGACCGCCACTCCATGCCGTTGCCTATCTCTGGCCTATAGAAAAATGTTAACCTCCTATGCCTCCCATGAGATCCAGAGAATAAATTTAATCAGAGAAGTGAGAAAATGCAGAAAGAAAGGGAAAGAGTCAAGCAAGAGAAAATAATACTAGTTTATCCATTAAACAAAGTCCAGGACCTTCACTTCCTCTTCAGTGTGTGCATTCTCAGTTACTCAGTCGGGTCTGACTCTTTGCGACCCCATAGACTGTACCCTGCCAGGCTTCTCTGTCCATGGGATTTCCCAGGCAGTAATACTGGAGTGGAGTGCCGTTCTGTCTCCAGGGGGTCGTCCCAACCCAGGGATAGTACCCACGTCTGTTGCATCTCCTGCATTGGCCAGCAGCTTCTTTACCACTAGCACCACCTAGGAAGCCCCAGTTCCTCCTCAAGGGCTGTAGATAATATTCTGAGCCATGTCCTTTGACTGTTATTTCCACGAGATGTCTCTTTAGAGGCAATGCCATGAGTTCTAAGATGAAGCAAACTGATCACAAATTACGGTCAGGATGAAGGGATGTGGGAGGGGCCTCGCTGGCCAAGAGCCATCCTTTCATTCTGCAGGGGTCATTGGCCAGTGACCAGGGCCAGCCTGAGTCCATCAACCTCTCCCATAAATACCTGCCTGCCATCCAGATGGTAAGGATGTTTGTCAGGAAGCGAGTGTGTGCATCTGTGTGAGAGCTAGAGGCACTTCTGAGGAGTCAGAGGAAAAAGTGGTTGATGACATACCTGTGGGTTCTGATGCAGAGATTATGAAGGAACTTTTATTTCTTACAGTCAGTAAGACATATCTCCCATGAATCATAGCTTTTTTCATCCTAATCCTTTTACTACACTATAAAAAGACCTTTGGAAATATTGCTTTTCAATAAATTACACTTTTTTCCTAAGCCTTAGTTACATTATTAAAAGAACTTTGACCATAGGGAGATTTAAGGCTTTGGAAATTGGTAAGGGCTTTCTTAAAACCTGTGCGTGGCTTGCCAACAACCACCTGTCGCAGTGACTCACTCCAGTGCCATGGGCGTGGTCAGCACACAGGAGGGTCAGCTCTCAGGGCAGGTGTGAATCAGGGCTTCTCTCCTGCAGAACCAACCATATGATGATCCTCGGGCATCATTTCCTGGGCAGAGCGCCAGGGAGCGTAAAGGTGAAGACTAGACAGTGTGTCTCAGCCTCCGCCCCTCCCCATCAGTGCCCCGGCCCCTCTCCAGATGCTACCTGCCCCTGGTCCCCTGGTCACCTCATGCACCCCCCTGCCCCACGGAGGCCTTTCCTGCCTGGACCACAATAGAACCTTCCTACTTCAGTTACCCTGAATCTGTCTCCCTCCCCCTGGGCAGAGATGCTCAGTCTCTGGGTATCTAGAATGTGTCCATCTAGCTTCCATCCTTGGGAGACCTGATCAGAGGCCGGGGAGATACCAGGGCTTGAGGGCGAGCTGGCAACCCCCCGTAGTGCAGTCCCTCCCACACCAACACCAAGACCAGCCCGGCCTCCTGCCCCCTCAAGGCCCCGAATCCCAACTCACACACCTGCCTGAAGCCAACCTGGTCAGGCCTCACCCTGCCCTCCTTTAAAAAGTTTTTCCTTCATACTGGAGTAGAGTTGATTAATTATGTGTGTTAGTTTCGGGTATACAGCAAAATGATTCAGTTATACATATACATATGTCCATTCTTTTTCAGTCTTTCCCCACGTAAGTTACTACAGAATGTTGACTAGAGTTCCCTGTGCTAAA